AAGCTAATAAGGGCAGAGAAGATTCAGTCAGGTCCTGAGAGTTGAGTCTAAGGCAATGTTGCAGCAGACAGGTACCTGCTGGGGTGTCTCGGGGAGCGAGGGGGAAGTGGGGATCGAGGGGGGAGGCGGGGGGCGGGGAGGAAGCTCCAGCTCTTTCTCTGACGTCTGCCCTTCTTCAATGATATAGGTAAGTGGAGAGAAGTGTTTCTCCCTGTTTTCTTGGGGCTGGGCCAGACAAGGCAAAGAGATACTCGCCCCACTCCCCAGCCCCCCAATCCAGAGAGGCCACTTCTTTTTCTGAGCCCTTCTTCCAGTGTAGAGGCCCTACTGTATGTGATACCAGCTTGTGTCAGAGCAGCCTTATAGAGTAGTCACAAACATTCACATATAAGGAAACTGAAGTCCAAAGAGGAAAGGGGGCTCATGGACTGAGCAGCTGGGCCAACTTTTTCTTTTTTTCTTGTCTTTTTGAGACAGGGTCTCTGTAGCCCCAGCCAACCTGGAGCTCACCAGGCTGGCCTCCATCTCACCAAAATCCATTTGCCTCTGCCTCCTGAGTGCTGAGATTAAAGGCGTGTACCACCACACCAGGCTTTCCAACTTTTTTTTTTAAGACAGTCTCACTCCATAGCATTGACTGACCTGGAACTTGCTATGTAGACCAGGCTAGCCTCTAACTCACAGAGCTCCTCCAGCTAGGAGTAAAGGCCACCACGCCTGGCCTCCTGAGGCCTTCTGGGAGTCTGTGATGGAAAGCAAGAGCCCTAGGCTTAGGAGACCTGGAGTCTCACAGTATACCTCCTGTGTAGGGGAGGGGGGAGCTGGTCTGACATATAGGAAGGACTTGATTTCAGGTGTCAGTTCTGTTAATTCCCACCCTGTGGGAATAGGGTGGAACAGCAAATGGGGAGCCAGGCTTCAAACACATTGCCTTGCCCCCCAAGTACCATCTCCACATCACTGCACTTAAAGGGTGAGCCACCTGAGCTATGGATGGGCAGGGTGATAATCAGCCAAGGCTGTGGGCATCTTTCACAGTCTCCATCCGCCTCCCCATCAGTGTTCTTGCTGGCCCTGGTGGCCCAGGGGCTGACACTGGAGAATGGGCTCCTGCGGACACCACCCATGGGCTGGCTAGCCTGGGAACGCTTCCGCTGCAACATCCACTGTGATGAAGATCCGAAGAATTGCATCAGGTGAGTAAAGTTTACACCCAGCAGGATGCCCAGGGCCAGCAGAATGGGGGCAGGGAATAGAGGGCACTCACTAGCAAAGTGGGCAAGGTCTCTACCAATCCTAGAGACTGCAGGCGGGCAGGAGAGACTTGAGGGACATCTGACACCTGCCTCATGACTTACTTGTGGGCCTCTGTTGGGTGGGGATCTTGGGGTGGACCCGCCCCACCCCAGGTAATTGAAAGGCGATAAAAGGGCCAAGCAGGCCCTTGTATGCTTCCCTCACTTTGGCTTGGGGGCCCAACTACCCTCTGTCCTATGGCTCCCCACAGTCTTGGGAGGTCATTTACACTTGTTATCTGGCCTAGGCCTCAGCTGACAGCAGAGGCCTGATATAGACTGGACTCACATTCAGAACTGAGAAAAGGGCAGGAGGGAGGGTCAGGCAGGGGCACTGAGTGGCCCCATCCCTCTGTCCCTTGCTAGTGAGCGGCTCTTCATGGAGATGGCTGACCGGCTGGCCCAGGATGGATGGCGAGATCTGGGCTATGTATACCTCAACATTGATGACTGCTGGATTGGTGGGCGTGATGACAAAGGCCGTCTGGTGCCTGATTCCAAGCGCTTCCCTCGTGGCATTGCCTTCCTGGCTGACTATGTGAGCCCCACCCCAGCCCCGCCCCTTGGCCTGAGGGGTAGTCACTCCTTTCCCTCCATCTCCCTGAGGTGCATGTATACAACCTCCATTTGAGAACTCAGTTCCGCGGTGGAAACTGACAAATAAACTACTTTTGGCCCAGTGAAATAAAAGGGGGAAGGGGAACCTTAGTGAGTCTAGGTCTCTAAGAAGGTCCCCTGGAGGAGGTATCTGGTTGAGCTGATCCCAGAGGAAAGGCCTCTGAGGCTTAGAAGCAAAGGCCTCAAGGCAAGAGACAATTTGAGGGAGCAAAGCTGGCCAGTAAGCTGAGACCTGTCTTTTGGTCAATGGGAGCCACTGAAAGTTTTTTTTTTTCTTTAATTTTATTTTATTGTGGTGGTCTCCTGTAGCCCAGGCTGACCTCAAATTCTCTGTAGTTGAGGTTGATTGATGTTAAGCCTCTGATTCTCCTGCCTCTACTTCTAGAGTACTAAGATTCTAGGTATATGCCACCATGCCCATTTTATGCAGTGCTGGGAATTGAACCCAGAGCATGCTAGGGAAGGAATCTACCAACCGAGCTACATCTCTAGCCATGGACAGTTTTTTTAATTTTTTTTATTTATTTATTTTTTTTTTTTTGGTCTTTTTGAGACAGGGTCTCCCTGTAGCCCCAGCTGGCCTAGAACTCACTATGTAGACCAGGCTGGCCTCGAACTCACAGAGATGCGCCTGCCTCTGCCTCCCTAGTGTTGGGATCAAAGGGGTGTGCCACCATGCCCAGCCTTCCAGCTCCAGTTTTAATGGGGCCCTGTGAGATGTGTCTGTGAGGACAGGCTCCCTGATTCTCTCACTTGAGCCATTGTGGTATATCCTTGACCCACAGGCTCACTCCCTGGGCCTGAAGCTGGGCATCTATGAGGACATGGGCAATATGACGTGCATGGGTTTCCCCGGCACCACCCTAGACACAGTGGAGCTGGATGCCCAAACCTTCGCTGGGTGGAAAGTGGACATGCTGAAGATGGACGGTTGCTTCTCCACCTCCGAAGAACGCGCACAGGGTGAGTCCACGGCCAGCTGGGCCTTCCTATGGGCAGAGAGAGGTGGCTATGGCACTTGCTCTGTCTGTGCCACCCCCAGTGGTGATGGTTTTCCCAAATCCGCTCAGCCCCTAATGGCAGCTCCCAGGCTCCCTAAAGATGAAATGGCACTGTAGCTATATCCTGAGGCCTGGCACCCAGAAAGTGAGGCTTTAAGTACAAGGAGGTACTTCCTCTTTGAGCGTCAGTGCCCTCATTTGGTAGGAAAAGGTCCCAGACTGCTTCCTGTGCCTGCCCAGTCCCCAGATTAGTCTTTCTGTAGGGTACCCCAAGATGTCTGCTGCCCTGAATGCCACAGGACGTCCCATCGCCTTTTCTTGCAGCTGGCCAGCTTATGAAGGGGGTCTCCCCCCCAAGGTAAGCCATTTTGTGCACCTGCCTGATGCTTCCCACTCCCAGACCCCCTTGCTTCCTAAGTGCCAGGCCTGAGGGAGGCCGGCACCAGAGCCAGAGCGCAGTCTTCATTTGTGAGTCAGTATCTAGACACCAAGAAACCTTTAAGGTTCTGGTGAGGCCTTGCCAGCCCAAGTGTCAGAGGAGGCCAGCTCAGGTGGGCTGGCAGAGCTGGCAGGGGAGCCGCAGGTGCCAGCACAGTGGGCAGCAAATGGTCAGAATCCTGGGTGGTACCGAGTTCCTGGGTGGGCCAGAACACCCAGAAGAGTGCTGAGGCCAGAAGGGCTCGGACCTCCATGAGGGAGGCAGGAGGTGGCTCTGTCACTGAGGGAAGATGGGAGTATGTGTGGGGTCATGCATATGCACGTGGTGGGAAGGGTGGTGGGTGCAATGGCCTATATGGAGGGAAGGCCTGGGCAGCCATTGAATGGGGCCACATTCCTAGAGGGCATCTGGTACTCCATAAGCCTTGGGATGTTCTCTGCCTAATTCCAACCCTCTCCTACTAGCCTCCCCTGCTGTGTAGCCCCAGACAGCAGGGTGTCTCCAACGCTGGCTCCTGCCTTTCCCAACATCCAGGTGAACTACACTCTGCTGGCTAATATCTGCAACCTCTGGCGTAACTATGATGATATCCAGGACTCCTGGAACAGTGTACTGTCCATCCTGGACTGGTTTGTGAAGCACCAGGACATTCTGCAGCCACTGGCCGGTCCTGGGCACTGGAATGACCCAGATATGGTACCAGCATGGAAGGGGAGGTCCCTCGCCCCACCATCCATGCCATCCCTGTTCCCCACTGCTCTGTGTTGTCTTCCTTCCAAAGTCTAGATCAGCAGTGAAATGTGTCCCTGGACTGGGTACACTGAGGTCCATCAGACTCCCTTCTAAGCTTACTTGCAGCTGCAGTCCAGGGCTCTGATGCCATCCTTCTTTTGCATAGAATGTTCGGGAACAGGATCTGGGAATGCCCATTGTTAACCACTTCCGCAGGCCATTCTGATGTTTCGTAAAGTCAGAGACCTGAGAACCCATCTGTAGCAACCAGGAAGATCATGACAGCTCCAGGCTGTTCTGCTGTCCTAATGCCCCTTCGCACAGCTACCTTGGACTCTTTCCAGTACTGTACCCTCTGGTCCTCCAGAGCCCTTCCAGCCCTGCCCACCTCTCCACAAGCACAAATGGCTTGCCGTCCTGCCTCTAGCCTTTCTGTCGGATCTCAGTCATAGCCCTGGAGACTTTTAAAAATAGTTTTATGGTTCTCTGTTCTCTTAATCAGCAAGCATTTATTATGTATGACAAAGGTGGTTGTTGCCAGTACTGAGGCAGGATTGCTGAGCTTACCTGCTTTGGAGTCCTGCTCCAGCTCTGCAACCTGCCTTAACCAGTCCTTAGTGGTTTCTCTGCCTGAGTTTTTCATTTGGAAAGTGAGAATAGGGCTGTTTTGAGGGCTCAGTGAAATAACTCTTAAGATGTCTGGCACAGTGTCTGGTACATATCCAGTGCTCCACAAGGCACCCTATGGCATTAGCCATAGTTACCTGCATCCTGCCTATGGGTTGGTTGGTTGCCTTGGAATCAAGAATCGCCTGTGGTCCTTCCAGCTGTGGCTATCACAGGATGGCCAGTGGCAGGTGTAGCAACTTGGTCCAGGTCTGTTTTCTACCACTGCTCTTTCCGATTTCTTTTCTT